TGCCCAAGTTCACCAGCACTCCAGGGGCAGCTCTGCCACACAACCAGTGCTGCCTCCAAGAGCCCGAGCCAAGGGAGGGCCCTGCTCTGGGAAGCTCAGTTCCCTCCTGCAGCGACTGAGGAACCCCAGGGAATTGCTTTCACCCCATCTGTGAGTTCCTGTGCAGCACACAGTGTTCCTCAGCCATGGAAGCATCTGGTGCACAGCTGGATGTCACGAGGTCTGGCCAACTCTGCAGCCAAACTGACAAACTTCACTTGATTTCTAGTCCAAGATTTCCTTAATAGAAACATCACCAGCTGAGCTCTGCCAGTGATTTACAAAGAAATTCCGAGTCAGAAAAGACACAGGCAGTGACCAGCATTTTAAGATCTGTCTCAAGTTTAATGATGCTCAGCACAGATGTTCATAATATTCTCCACCTCAACTCTCTGTCTGTATTACAAAGAAGACTACCAAAAGCAAAGTTTTCGATAGTCCTGCTTCAGTCTTAGACTTCAAATTCCTCAAAGTAACTGATATTTTAAGACTGTATAATCTTGTGACATAAAATTAATAACTTGAATTATATTTCAATGCTATATAAGCTTCACAAAACTAACTGCCATAAGTCATAGGTGACCTTAATTTCAAAAAAACAAGACAGCAGAGTCTCCCTGCATAAGAAAAATAAAGCTACTGAGTTTGTGTTACTGGCTGCACAGCAGAAGCCAATAGATTTGAAAAACCAGATTAGCACTGTCTAGTACCAGTCAAGGTCTTGTCTTGGACGAAGACAGTTTTTAATTATGTCTGACATGGTAACAAGATCAATAGTTCTCAACTAATTCATTAACTAGATAATACTGTCTCTTTAGATTTCATTTTTTAGCAAAAACATGGTGTTTCTAAGCTTCCCTGCGTATCACATACGTGCTTTCTTTGAGGGAAATGTTTGTAACACATTTGGCTATTGTTAAGCAAAACAATTTCAGAACTTCAAAATTCTTTACGAAATCTAGTAAAATAACTAGTTACAAAATAACAATTCATATTCTTAATCTGGCATTAACAAATGCACTTAAAACATTCGCCCGTAAGACATTTCCTCTCAACAGCAAATGTCACTGAGCCTGATGCAAAGACAACATTCAGCCACAATTCAACACCATCAGATCAGCAGATTATGGGGAAAAGCTGAACTTTAAGGGGAATGAATACCTGCAGTACAACTGTAACATAAAATTCAAACTAACAACACACATCAGACTGATGTCTCTAAAATATAGAGAGTTAGTTCTTTAAATATATCCAACTAGTTTAAATAAACCCTACTACAACCCTCTAACAACCTCTAGTAGAATTAAGATGGGTCTGTGTATTAGACTGAGTTTTAAGTACCTTATTTTCCTTAATGTAACCAGCCTGCTATAAGCAAGAACTACTGACATGCTAAACTGCATTTCAGAAGGTCAAGGAGAAAACCAGTTTCAATTTAACTGTTACACAAATGATATCTGTCAGGAATCAGGTTTCCAGGTGGCCCAGGTGAGCGCACAGGGGTGCAGCAACTCACCTACACGGCAGAAGCAAAGCACAAAGGGAAGGCACTTGCACAATAACTGCTCAGACTTTGCTACAAGCTCACAGATAAACACACACCCCACCTGCAGCACACCCAGAGCCCCAGAGCACACACGGTGCCAGCTGGGTGGGAAGCTGGGCAGCTCAGCCCAGACTTCCAAGGACACCCTGCTCCGGCCACGGAAAATGTATCTTATTTTACTTATAAGACAGAAAACAGCTGTCTTACATATAAGACAGAAAACAGCTG